GTGAACACTCGAGTGAATGTTAAATTCGAGGTTGAGACACGGTTATGTAACATTCAGCTTCACTTTGCACATTTCCATTTTTCATTTATCACTTCACTTGGCTTTGATATGAGTACTGGAGGGTGTCTAATGAAATCATTTACACTTATACTTAAGAAGATATTTTCACTTTTATGAACTAACCGAATGAATTTTACGACACGGACGGTTCTTCTGCATCGGCATCCACTGCGTTCCGTGCTTTTTCTCTAACTAATTGAGCTACTCTATTCTACACGTCATTGTCGAATTTTCCACCTATTGACTCATGCACTTTTCGCGCAATGTAACGCTTCAAGTCCCGCTCGTGATTTACAAACTTTCAATCTTAAATAGATTTGTCAGCGAGTACCTACACTGGACCGGCACCGAACTCCCGACATTACCCTCATACTACTAAACCAACATCTAGGCTCTGTAGTTCACGATAAAAGTTTTTTGCTACCTTGTAACTACGTCCCTATTCAAACAGGTATCTAATTTTGAAGACTACCGGTGAGCATAAGCTGAATTTACATAAACTAGTGTAACCTTTGACAATCTCTCCTATGTCGGTAAGTATTAAAAAACTAACGGAATACCCGAGCAGGTGTGTGAAGTATACTGTTTGAGTCCCATAGTCATCAAGTCATCTTAATGCAAAGGAAGTAGTAATGAACATTCATCCTAATTGTCTTCTTAATTTGTCGGACAATATTGTTTTTGTGGTCATACAATTTAATTTCCTGTTGCGGTTGGTGCTGAATCTTATGAATACGGAGGTTAGTTGCGACTTTGTACACTCGAAAAGAAAAAACTATATAAAAAACATATAACTATATTAAAACAGTGAATAGCAATTTGTTAAGCCTTTTAAGATAATAAGTGAGTAATATATATTAGTAAAAAAAGTCTACAATCCTGAACTTAGGTACTCTATGTGTAAAGCACTAGTCACTTCTCCACATACCTGAGGCAATATAGCCATTTGTATGTAAAATATGTTTGTTTGCTTATATAAGAAAACATATAAATGTGATAAACGACCGATTGAAATCAAACACTACGTATTACTTGAAGTACAGTCAACCCGCAAAGTGCTTTCAACAATTCAGCGACACTTTCTATACTATAATCTAGCTAATATATATTTTGAGTAATGCGTGTATTTATAATAAGTTTTTTTAATACTACATTTTGAGCTAATACAATTAGTTAAATTTTTTTGTAACGAACATTTACAAAAACACTTCTAATACAACAGTAAACTACACACAAAACAATACATAAAAAGATTTCAAATAATATAATACATTTAATAGGTAGATGTTAAACGGGCGGTAGATATCGAATATCCCGTCCCGGTTTCGAACCACCACCCACAAGTGGAAAAACCGTGAAGTTTGTTGACACGTTACGATTTTAGCCTATAGCTTTCCCAATATCCAAAGCCAAAATAGGTCATCAACTCATCTGGTGGAGATGTTTTATAACTGGGGTACTTCATCTTCTATAAAGTGAACACCGTGCTTGTCTGTCCCCCTCTATTGTAATAAAATAAACTATCCCTTTCTTTTATTATTATTTCGCACAGCTATATTTGAAGCCTTTGTGTTGAATGCTTTTAATTTAAATTAAATTTATAAAACGATACACTTGAAAAGCCATTTTTAACGATCGACGTTTGTACACCACGCATGCCCATACGCACAATACATTTAACGTTGAGTAGTGTTGTCCCAGCAACGACACACGTAAGTATTATTGTTTTAGACAGCGCTTGTAAAAGATTTTATAACTATACGATACCGAAATAGACTGCGTTCAGCGATGCATACGCAGTAAAAAATAAGTTATTGCCCCATATTGCATTTTAAGATCTGCAACATACAAAATACGTTCAACATTAGGTCTACGTATATTGTTTGTTATTTTCTATTGTTATGTAGACAGTTCAACAATTTAATTAGTACAATACTTACTTTTCAGCGAAAACGTCGGGCCGTAATTAAAATAAATTGTAAATAAGTTAACTTTAAAATTTTGCGTTTAAAGCCGTTAGTGTGCTCGCATGAACTGCTAAACTTATACTAACTTACTCTCTTTATTACTCTTCTGGGCAAACCAAAATGAAAAATAACAAATAAAACCTACAACTCTTTACGAAGACAAAAAATATATGCAGAGCTTGTAGATAAAAATATATTATTACCATTATTAACATAAGTCAAAGTAAAATTCAAATGTACATTACAAGATACAGTGATGTTTAATATAGATAGAAAAACTGATGACCGTATACGATGAAGAACCAGACTTCTTATTGTGATATCAATTACAGAAAAAAATCAATGCAAACACGCTTATACCCCAAGCCACAGGGTGAACCGCAAGACCACCATCATCCATAAAAACGCTATCCAGTAACGAAATATCGCGTTACTCTAAGAGACGTCACTAATGGCGTAGATAACTTTTTTATAGCTGAGGGTAGATAAGCAAGGGGTTCCCTTGATGTTTAAATGTATGGCAAACATGCTGGACCTAGCGTTAATGAAATCTACCTGTTGGTTACTAACTATGCTCTCATTGAACCACGGAGACAATAACACTAAGCGCAAATTGTGACGGCTTTGTGAATTCTCAGAACCTTAAACTACGCTCAAATATAAGTAACGCTTAAACAAAGAAATCGTGCCTGCAGATACCGATGTTAAAATCATAAGGACTAAAAACAAAACGATTGTATTAAAATACATCAATTGTTCTTAGAAATGTACTAGAAATCGCTTGCGCAGATTAAGGCAGGTAAGGAAACCACTTATTAATCCTAAATAGTAAGTAATCTTAAATTTAATACTGCAAGTATTATAACTTTGTCGAAATAAAAGAAGTGGAACGTTCCCAATTCATTTTAGACTAATTACTTTGTTTTTATATTTGTTAGTCTTTGATAGAGGAAGACAGATAAACTTGGGATTGGATAGAAGATGAAGCCATACAATATCGGAACAAGAAGCGTAGTTGTCTTATTTTTGGCTATTGAGTGAAATGCGATTAAACTTCCCACCTTCATTTAGTGGTTCGTAAACTGAATGGAATTTGGATATTCGTATCACCCATAAATATTCTATATCTTCGACTCGTTGATCATTATTAGCCGTACATTACTAGAATTAGATCAACGTTTCACGTTTATTGACATATATTTCTTACTGTAACTTAACACGAATTGCTATCCAATTGCAGAGGAAGATGCCAATTCGCTTTATTACGTTCTCTTGATAATTTACAAAGCCCCACTCGAGTTATGTTTCCTCGCAATTATTATTTATTAATAATGGAGGTTTCTCTCGTCAACGGCGACAGGTACAGTCGTAACATAAAGTTAGGAATAAGTTAATCTTCGTAATAACTTCGAGTCAGCGAGGGGAAAATGCAATTTATTGTCGAGTATACTGGTGCATTGTTTTCAATGGAATTTAACTGGTGTGAGTTAGCCGAGTTGCATTTAAGGATTTCATTTTGAACCTGTCCGTATAACTATAATTTAAATCCAATTTAACTTCTGCAATGTATTTGCATACGTATGGTGTACTTAGAGGTCGTTCACTGAGAAGTGGACGTTCAAATTTGAGGGTAGTTTAAAAATGGTGATAGTGGATTGTGTTGAATATTACGCTTATGGCTATTGACACAATTCTACTAACAAGCGTTATCGATTATGTTAAAACACTAGCGTTGCAAATATACCTACTTTATCTCGAAAAATTAATTATAATTTTACGTTTTTATTAGAAGAAAGTAAACAAACTTTTTTATTATACCTACTTATTGTGTTTTAATTCATAATTAAGTTATGAAAATTTATATATCATCAATATGATGATATATTGATTCTCATCTCGAGTGTTTTTTATCCTATCTCATCTCGAGTGTTTTTTATCCTATACTTTTCTTTGTGATAACCAAACGAATTATTCTGGCGAAATACAACCGTTCGGACGAACAAGACCGCCCTTAGGCGAGGGCCTATTTATTGAGGAATAAACAGTTAATAATGAAAGTTTAAACTAACCCCGCGTCGGAATGAAGTCATAACTCGTGACTCCGTGACCCCAGCGCCATCTATCATAACGAACAATGGCCAAGTCCGAACGTTAAAAGTGGTTCAAATTTGCGCCCGCACTGATTTATCGCTTCAGGTACGATCGCTGACGCGATAAGGAATTGGCTGAGGGCTGCCCCGGGGGTTCGTATGACTTATGAACTGGCCGGGTATATAGCCTATATGAAGTAAGCTTCGCCTATATGGATGTAAAATAAAAATCTATTTGGTTTGGCACTGCACACAAAGTTCCGTGCTACTGCTCTGTCAACAGGTAAACCCGTTCAAGTCCCGCCCGTGTCGTAAAACGGTTTCAATTCATATAATGCCATTATGTGCAATAACATATGAAAAATATAAAAGTTTTCAAATGTGCACTCTTTGTTTAATTGTAACTGTACTCTTTGTTTAATTGTAAGTTCACAACATTTCAAAGACTTACCACTAAATTTCTTATTATTCAATTTCATTGCTTAAAAATAACCTTTCTACATGCCATAAATACGTCTTATAATAGAGAATGGAACGGCATATACTCTTAAAAGTTTAAAAGTTACACGATTAGCAAGTGTAACTTTTAAAAACGCGTGTACGGTAAGTATGTTAACAATACTCGATTTTTACCCGGAAATCAAATCCAGTACACTTCCAGAATAAGCAATGTTTGCATTCAACGTTAACTTAAGTTAGTAGAAAGCAATTAAAAAGAAGATATTATCCTTATCAAACAGTAAATTATTTAAAAAAAAGTACTCTTGCGCAATTTCGCATATATAGCAACAGCCAATCGGCTATAATCGCCCGAATTTTGATCACTGTTCGCATGACAACCGGCAAAAAATTATTATCAAAAAACTATTTAGTATTTACTCACTCGTTATCTGACAGTTATCGGTGGCTGAACCCGGTGGACCTGAAATGAGAACACGGAATTTTACAAGGAATCGATTAAATATATTATACCTATCACCCACATATGAGGCTGCCCTCTGCCTCTGGCAGCCTCAAAAATTACGAATCACTAAAAAAACGATTTTCTATAAGGAGAAAAATAAAAATACGCAATTAACTTAGGCGAAAATGAATTTAACTATTATTTGGGTAAACATTTTGCTAACTATTTTCGGTCACTGTGCTCTTGTAGATTAACATTTTTAGACTAAATTATAAATAATTCAAGTCATAAAAAATGCAGTTAGGCTACTCTGCCTATAGCGGCCTCATATATAATAGAGAAATATTGAAAAGTAGAGAAGTTTTGAAGCAGACACTGATTAATCTACTTTTGGTTTACGGACATTTTTTTTAAATAATGAACAAACAATGGATTCATTTGATGCATAGGGTGGGGATCGAACCCACTCGTTGATTATTAGTAACACGACGAGCCTGCAAAATCGTATCTTCTAGAAACATCTAGATCTACTTGTGGCAGTACCTTGCAAACGCACTGCAGTACATCTGAGTCAGAGAGGTAGTTTGTATTCAAATTCGCCACTTAGCTCTTGATCCCGAGTAGCCGTTCGCAATATAATATTATCGTGCAACCATTAGCCAAACAAAAAGTTATCTCTATGGAAATCGGAGTGCGACGACCTGCTTAATTCGGGCCGACGTCGCCTCTTGCTGGGCAGTGCTTCGCGTTTTTATTGTGTAATAGTATGGAATTAGTTTAAAGTAAAGCAAATATTGCCTATCATGACAATATATCAATATCCACATGTAGACATAAACATTTAGAGTTACCATAGCAAACTTATACTAGACTAATATAAGTTAAACTAAACAACAAAATAGGTTCGTCGTCGTTCTAATCAAAGTCCTAATTATTTCTAAACGTATTGTATTCCTTCAGACTAAGTTTTCTTTAACGATTCTATGACTTTATTTGTTTGTTTTATGTCTTTATAAGATATGCGTTATATACCTAATTTAAACATCGAAAACAAATTGAAAAAAATTTCGGCTCGGGCAGGACTTGAACCGGCATCGTCAGCGTTCTGTGCTGTTGCTTTACCAATTGAGTTACCGAGTCCAACACCTCGTCCAATATTTTTAACTTATTAATATTTTTTTTCAATTTATTTTCGATTTTTAAATTATATAGTGCCTTCATGTGCAATAACATGTGAAAAATATTGAAGTTTTCAAAGATATGCGTTATAATTGTTTAGAAAACACTTTTTTACAAAACTTTTTAAAATCGTAACAGAGATTAGAAAGCGTGTTACATAGTCACGAGTAAACTAATCGCTTTTGAGAAGTTTTATGAAAATAATAATACCTATGTAAAACTAAGTACATTTATTACATATATAATTAGTGGACTTTTTGGCCATGGAAATATCGAAACCCGAGGATCGTGAACGGGCGGTGACGGGTCGTTTGGACCCACGAAATAAATCTAAGCGATGGCGCGTTATTCTGGTGCAATGCAGCTTGCAGTATATGCGGCACTCGGCAGGAATGGCGTAGTAAGGATTTCCACGTACCTCGTATTTTCTCAACTCAATTTTTCTTAACTAGCTTCGGGCTTTCCGCCGTTTAAGTAATTTTCGTTAAAGAGCTCGCAAGTGTGTTTAACCTAATTTTATATTGCACTGCTGAATTATTATGTATAGTTTTTAGAATTCAGCTGAAATGAGGGAATTCCAGCATTTAATGGTTATAAAGGAATGTTCATTTGTAATATGAAATTCAATGAAATTAAAAATTTTCAATTAAAGTTTTAGAAATTGAAATCTAAAATAATAAATAGGTAGGTACGTTAGGAATAAACTTGTCTTTCAATATATTCACCTAATATATACATGCTTTAATATTAAGTCAAAATAAAAAGAGTTGCACGAATTATGTGAGTAATACATTTTTATAGGAACCTAGACGTATAGACTCATAACTAATTATAGTCTATGGCCCGCTGACTCGACAACAGAATAAAAACTATGTAAAAGAACGAAACGTCTCTTCGAATCGTTCATCGCCGTCTAATTCCAGTGCGCGAGGGTTTGCCAAGTTTTTCTAGCATTTCTCCGAATTCAGTTCAACGTCCTAAACGCCCTTTGCTTTCCCACCTGACGAGCGGATGGGCGGGACGCCTATTACGTTTTCTAGTTCGCAAACTTTCGATTAAATCAAGACCCAGACGGGCACTGTTTACAAGGACTGTGAAGCTAGTTTGTTTATTATATTTATAAATGATAAATATTATTGGATTGATCGGAAAAGAATTTCGTTTTTTTATCATAGATCATCAAGCAATTAATTTCTTGCTGGCTTGAACAGTCATTTTTTCTCTAGTAAAACAGTGAGATATGTCAAAAATGCTGCAAGTCGCTATTTATGTTTAAATGGGCTTTCCAAATTTTAAAACCAAAAAACGTAGAACTGCCTACAAACTAAAATAAAAACACTTTTAACGGGTTTAAAAGCGAAATGTTTCTCCTTGACTATGGCTGCTGCTTGCGGATGCTTACATCCGAAACCTATTATTATTCCTTTCTTTAGAGCTACCGTGATATAGCCGACCACAGACTAAACAAAATCCTCTGATATCAATCTTTTAATAGATACGTCTAAAAGTCTCCTACCAAAGACGTTTAGTCTAGGTAGATGTCTGTACCTACATTACAGATCTAAAGAAGAATGGTTCTCCGGAGAGGGAAAAGGAAATTAGGGCACCACAATCCATTCTATACAAATTTAAATCTGAAACAGGGCATTCGGTCAGAGCTATGAAAACGAATTACTTTTCGTTTCGTTTCATTTGCGTATATCGCTAAGGTCAATATTATACAACAGACCGTCAATAAAACACAGTTTACATTATTATTTCGTGTTTACATTGACGTCAACGAAGGATGGAACTTATATAATGGGTTATATTTGTAACAAGAGCGGTTGCAATGAACATAATATGAATAAAGTAAACCACTACGAAAAACGTAAACTTTTGTATTTTTTTGATTATTCCTTACACCTACCCAATTAATAATTTTTATTTCTTTTTCCCTGTACTTCAGGTTGTCTGGATGAGATCGCTTTTTAGCGATAAGGCCGCCTTTTATATATATGTTAGTAAGTAATTCTTTTTTGTAGTTTGTGGTATATGTTATAAATAATAAAGCTGATATAAATAAATACTATATAATTATATATAGTATACTATATTTTTGGGCACTAGCTAGATAAATTACGTTATCATCTATCTATATTAATATATAAAGCTAAAGAGTTTGTTTGTTTGAACGCGCTAATCTCAGGGACTACTAGTGCGAATAGAAAAAATATTTATTGAGGAAGGCTCTAAGCCACAAAACATTGCGATGTGACTAATAGGAGCGAAGATACAGCGGGAAATGTGAACCAAACGGGGGAAATTTTTCATCTCTGTGGGTTTCAGACGCGTACGCTGCGAAAACGGTTCAAGATACCTAAAAAATGTGTGTGTGTCGGACTTTTTTTTAGTTATTTAAAGAGAAATCGAAAAAAAGTCGGCGCTCTATATGTCTATCTTTTAAGATTAACTTGCAAGAACGACGCCGTGGCTAACAGTTTAAGTCTACAAAGATGACAGGGTTTGCAAAAACCTATTTGGATGCCCAAAATAACGATTCTCGCGGACGAAGCCGCTGGCACAGCTAGTCCCTAATATAGAGGCAACAGACTCACGCCAAGAATAAATTAAACTTGTTGCTTACTTCTAAAACTAGTACATATTGCTTCATACAAGATGTTTGTTTTAACTTTTAAATGAAACACTTTTAACGGTTTAAAAGGGAAATATTTTTAAACCTATTTTTTAAATATTTGCACAATAGTATTATTACTATTGTGCAAATATAGTGTGTAGAACATTTAAATAAAACACTTATTTGGAAATTATTTTACGTTTTGGATGCCTTGCAGCAGCCGTGGTCACAGGGCAGACCGTATCTAAGTATAGAACAATAAAGCTAAAGAAAGTTTTCATTTTGAGAACCTATTTTGAATTAATTTTAATTATGACTCGACGTTACTAATTTTTAACTGTGTACTCTCGTAAGTCACAGACTTGATTCTGAACTTTTCAAATATTTTCATCGACTTTCCGGCAGAGGTTAGGACTAAAGCGAATTTCACATACGTATTCGAGTCTGCGGCTGCCGCGGTCACACAAAGTCACTTACATTCGCCTTTGACAAAGGTAAACAAACCTATGCCTCGCGTATTTAGAATAAAATGTACGGTTTACGGTAATCGTGATGTTGATAATGTCACTGTATAAGGAGTAAACTGAATTTTAAAACAGCTCACGGGTCAGTTGTCCTGTTAAGGCAGATATTGGTAAAAACAATTCATTTCACCCTTAAGTAATTCTGTCTATATATATGTAGTGGCAAAAACTAAGTTATATAGCAGTTAGTTTAATGACCACCAAATATGTACAAATTAAAGTCAGTAAAAATAAGTATTCTGTTGAAGTGCCAAAACAAGTAGAAATAGTGGGCAGAACAAATTCAACAATCAGCCAATGAGACATCGAAGAGCCACAAAATGTAACTAAGAGAAATTAAAGCATCAAATATAGTATCGATCTCGTCCTTTCCCGTCGTTCTTGCACATTAATCTTAAAAGAAAGACATATATAGCGTCGCGAAATTTTTTAGATCATTTATAAGGGAATCATTCTTTGATACACAATTTTTAGTTATCGCGAACCGTTTTCGCAGCGTACGCATCTGAAACCTACAGACATGAAAATATTTCCCCGTTTTGTTCACATTTCTCGCTGTATCTTCGCTCCTATTAGTAACATCGCAATGTGTTATAGCCTCTAACCTTCCTCGATAAATGCTCTAACCAATTCGAACCCGTAGTTCTTAAGATTAGCGCGTTCAAACAAACAATCAAACAAACTCTTCAGCTTTATATATTATTATTAATTATAGATAAATTAAGTATAGATATGATTTAAATTACTATTCTAAATCAGTCATAAATTTCGCGAGATGATGGTATTTAATGCATGTCTAATGTTTTCCCCGTAAATAGACAAACATACATATATGCTCATAAAGTATAAGTAGGAAATAATAATCTACAATCATATGACTAATAGACACAAACAGAACACATAGTCTTATTGTTTGCCCTTTAAAAGAGTAATGGCCGTTATATATCTTATTCTGCGCACGAGCAGAAGCGATAGAAAAGTTTTGATTTCGCTAATCGTGTTATATATTATAACGTAATTTAGTTTTCGTCCTTTCAAAATATATATTAAGGTACATTTCTTTCGACATACAAGTATTTAGGAAATATATTATATTTAAATAAAACACTTTAACGGTTAAAACGCTATATATATTAGTTAAACTAGTTTGAAAATTATTTTAACTACAGCCCGACGTTTAGGATGCTTTGCAGCAACCATGGTTACGATGAGGGCGGGGTCACAAAAATCTATACAGCTAAAGAGTTTGTTTTTTTGACCGCGCTAACTTCAGGAACCACGACTTCGAATTGAAACATCTTTTTGTGTTGATTAAAGCATTTATGGCATTTACGCTGGCACAGCTAGCATGTTGTAACTATCAAATCGAGTAACCGAAATAACACTTCAAAATTGTTTTCCGTAACAGCTAAAAATTGCCTCTAATAGCGATTAGGACAGTTTTTTCTAGAAATGTATTTACAAAATACAACGATTTTCCTCAGAGCGCGCGTTGCTCACAATTCTATTCAAGCGCATGATTAAATTGCAGTACGCCATTCAAGTACCCAATTAAGAGGCGGGATCACCTTAGCACAGGTCGTCTATTTTAATTCGTCCCGAACGGGACGTACGTCAGTTACACTCAGCCGAGTACCTTCGTCCCAGCGGGCCAGACATTTCCAGACAAATGTAATTCTAGACTGAGCGAAGCACTGGAGTGTACGAAAAAATCATGTTAACGTGAGAGTTTGTATTAAATGGGAAAATGTTTCCACAATATCCCATTGGTTTTAATCCGTCTAGTGTTGTTTCAATAAAAAAAATATTTTTCCTGCAAAACATAGATGTAAAGATTTAATTCAGCAGTTTTAAATGTTTGAATTGCTTTAAAATATATATATATATATATGTGTTATGTTAAAATACACTTCTCTCAATAACAAAACTGTTAAATAGTTTTACTTATAATATAATGACAGGATATATTAATTTGATTTATTTTCGCGTTCGAAATTTATACTAAAAAGTAATATAAATATATATCACAAATATTTAAGTAAAAAAAACTATTTTTGTTGTATTGTAGGAGACACTGTTTCTCACGGCGAAGCATTTTTAATTTATAGTTTACAATGTCGCTTACAGCGTAACTTGTTAAGGTTAAGTGTGTCCATTCATTAAGATTTAGATATATTCTGTAGTACTATTATTACATTAGATACTATTAATTTTCTTGTCTTTCAGAAATAGTTGTATTAGTTACTTATCTTAAGGGACGATTATATTTAATTTCCTAAATAAGTAAATCAGTCTTCTTACACCATCTTACCTGAAACTTCTCAATTCAATATGTATTTATTTTAGGCTGGAGGACAAAAACAAAATGACGCAAGAATTTTCTTTGACTACCCACACCTACCGAGACATACAAAGCGAGGAAATTAGCTCAAAATCACGTCCGTCAGAAAGTTGCATGAAAGAAGCTAATTTACACGAGGACAACGCCATAAAAATCTCATAATGAACACGGGAAACTTCTCGAATAGACGCCCTAATAGCGTCGCTTTTTATTAAACCGTACAAACGCCCCGGCGACATTTATCAAGACAATATCC